TATTTGCAATAACTTTTTTTTGTTCCTTAACGAGTGAGCATGTGCTTAATACATTTAAGATCACATTATAATTCATACCAATAGTGGACCTCATCATTAAATATTACTAATCATCAAATAAAAAAAATCACCAGATAAACATCACTCATACGCCATGTTGAATCCAAGTGTTCTCCTAGTCATTGCAAATATTAATGGTATAATAACAATATTTTGGCGCATGCACCTTTGCCAAGTGTTTGGCTGAGCTTCTCCTTCAATTTGTGGTGAGGGTCTTGATGTTGTGAAAAAAAGGCACGGACCTACAGCTTTACGCCGCCTCCGAACAGAAATGGCTTTTGTGAGAAGCTTTTTTAAGGCAGAAATACACACGGAGGCAGTGTTAGGAGTTAATCAATTAATTTTTCTATCATACCACTAATACCCAAAGAGTAAACAATTATTTCGATGAATGTTTCAAGCCCTTGTGTTTATTTCAGATATAATAATGACATAAAACTATTGCACACGGTGCAAGCGTTTAATAACATCTTTTTTTCTTGGAATAGTTTCTCGGTGCTTCCGAACTGTCAAAAACAATGCTTGTTTTTGCTCCTCACTTTTGGCATGCATGTTGTTGAAGCTTTGAGCGAGCGCCACTCCACGCTCTGCGGTGTCGTTTACAAATTTTAAATTCCTTATATTTTTTTCTTATATATAAAAATAAGTGCACGTTTTTGGTGTGACCTCATAACTTGAGAACGGCTTCACCGAATTCAACCAAATTTATGTGGCATATTCAACTTATTATGCAGATGGTTTATGTGAAGTTTGCTTGAATTCGGAAAAGGGGGCGTGGCGCCTATATTTTATATATAAAAATTAGTGAGTTAGCTTATAACTTGAGAACGGCTTCACCGAATTCAACCAAATTTATGTGGCATATTCAACTTATTATGCAGATGGTTTATGTGAAGTTTGCTTGAATTCGGAAAAGGGGGCGTGGCGCCTATATTTTATATATAAAAATTAGTGAGTTAGCTTATAACTTGAGAACGGCTTCACCGAATTCAACCAAATTTATATGGCATATTCGGGCCATCATGTAGATATTTTACGTAGAGTTTGCCCAAATTTGGAAAAGGGGGCGTGGCATATGTATCTTATGTATAAAAATAAGTACACGTTTTTGGTTTGAGCTTATAACTTGATAACGGCTTCACCGAATTCAACCAAATTTATACGGCATATTCAGGCTATCATGCAGATAGTTTATGTGAAGTTTGCCCGAATTCGTAAAAGGGGGTGTGGCACCTTTCATACTAAATTACTAAAATTTTTATGTTGTATATCTCTTGAAATATTTGTGGTAGAGTACTGGAAATTGGTATAGAGGTATATCAAATAAGTCCATACTCATGGAGAAAAATGTGCGGTATTGGAAAAGAGGGCGTGGCACCTCACATCTTATATACAAAAAATAAGTGCAAGATTTCAGCCAAATTTATACGGCATAGTCGGGCTATTATGCAGATGGTTTGTGTTAAGTTTCCCCGAATTCGGAAAAAGGGGCGTGGCACCACCCATACTAACAAAAATTTTCATCTGGTATATCTCTTGAAATATTTGTGGTAGATTATTGGAATTGGTAGCTATACGTGGCCTGTTCAAGAGTTGGCATTCCAAATAGTTTATTTATTCATACCGAAGATGGAAAAACAAAAAATGTTGTATATCCAAATGTGTTGGATTAAGATTTAAAATAAAGAATAAAAAAATTCGAAATAAAACAGATGATAAATTTTCATATAGAAAAATCCCAGGATTTTTCATTAATTTTTCAATATTTGGTGTAGAGAAGCAGAAGTTTATTATAATTCTCATTTGTTGGCCAGTTTTCAGCATATATTTCAGGAAAGTAAAAAAAAATTATATATTTTTTTAGACACTTTATATTAAAAACTTCAACAAACTTAGGTCCGGTTTCCAATTCGTTTTATCACTAAATTATTATTTTTAGCACAAACAAGAGTTCCCTATATCTGTTGTACTATAAAAATTCATAATCTTATTAGTTTAGCCACACAATTAAAAACTTTAAAACGGTTGAAAAATTTTGCAGCGGTGGCAAATATAATTTCACAGATAAAATCACTTTTAAGGAATTTAAAAGTTGAAACGATACCGCAGAGCGTGGAGTGGCACTCGCTCAAAGCTTCAACAACATGCATGCCAAAAGTGAGGAGCAAAAACAAGCATTGTTTTTGACAGTTCGGAAGCCCCGAGAAACTATTCCAAGTGCGAGAAAAAATGATGTTATTAAACGCTTGCACCGTGTGTAATAGTTTTATGTCATTATTATATCTGAAATAATCACAAGGGCTTGAAAAATTCATCGAAATCATTGTTAGCTCTTTGGGTATTAGTTGTATGATAGAAAAATTAATTGATTAACTCCCAACACTGCCTCCGTGTTTCTGCCTTAAAAAAGCTTCTCACAAAAGCCATTTCTGTGCGGAGGCGGCGTAAAGCTGTAGGTCCGTGCCTTTTTTGTCACAACATCAAGACCCACACCACAAAATGAAGGAGAAGCTCAGCCAAACACTTGGCAAAGGTGCATGCGCCAAAATATTGTTATTATACTATTAATATTTGCAATGACTAGGAAAACACTTAGATTCAACATGGCGTATGAGTGATGTTTATCTTGTTTATTTTTTTTATTTGATGATTAGTAATATTTAATTTAAGGAACCAAAAAAAAATTATTGCAAATATTCATTTTTTATAAGGCAAAATTTAGTTACTAACTAATTAATATATGCATTTAAAACTAATTTATCAAACTAATATATACTGTGTTCTAATAAACTGATATTTGGGAACCTACCTTCGAATTTTCAACGAGATCCGACAAGATTTGATGAAAATATACCTATTTATTTATAAAGATGCATTTAAAATCTGCAGTTTCCGGAAAACAAACAACAGCGTTGAGCGACCTCTGAATCTTGTTCAAATAAGCTGAAATTTTAGAAAGAACTTGTCTTCCCTATTATTTTCAAGAATCCGAACGTTCCCAGTCGAAATTCAAAAAAGTTCAAATTTTGAATCACCCTAATGTACATAATTATAACTGTTACAAAGCACTGGGAAAGTGCTATATTCAACAAAAATATTTGGAAGTATAAACAGTTAAGTACAAAGCCACAAGCAAATAAAAGGTGCGTTCGCGTAGCTGTTAATTGTTCAAGTTTAACCAAAACTTACAGGTTTTTGCGTTCGCGTACGCAAAAAACTTGCAAAGTAGGGGAAATTGAGAGAGCAAAGTGACATTTCATTTTGAGGGGAAGCTGTTATTTGTTTTTTGTTATTTTTTTGGCCTTTTTAATAATTATATTCAACAATTTTATAATGAGCTCGAGGCCATTTTTTAAATGAAAATTTATTGTGGAAAAGCAACAATAATTTGAAAAAATGGTNAACAGGGAAACAGCTGATCAAAAACAGCTGGTTGGCATTTAGGCAAATCATAAAATTGAATTTGATGGTTTGGAAAATAAAAATTACAAAATGCGACTAATTAAACTTGTAAGAAATAAGTAGTTATTTGTTCAATCAATAAACTGTGTCAGTATAACACTTTGCGACGACTTTTCGTACCTTTTAAATTTTACACTTTTGTATGTAAACAAAAATTATATCAGCTGTTCGTCTAACTTGCAAGTTTCTGCAAATTTTCTGTTCGCGTACTATTTTGGATATTTCTCTCTTGTGAGAGAACAGATGACATTTCGCCGGAATTTGGCAGTTGGTTGGTTTCTGCTGGAGATTTTAAACGAATGCACCTAATAACGGGTACGGACGCGACAAAAAATGGACGTTTTTTTTTAACGCATGTAGAATTATTCCAAATTTAGCGAAGTTTGGAGAACAAATTTTTTTCCTTGAATGGGGAAGTGAATGGCAAAGAATGTCTTTGGTTCGCAGAGTTATGGATTACGAGAAATATTTCTCACCTTTTTTTATGAGGTATGGTATGAGTACCGGCTGCTGTGGTGTAGTAGTAAGCAGTGCGCGCTTCCACTCCGCAATGCCTGGGTTCAAGCCCCGCTCAAAGAAACATCGCAAAAAATATAGAAAAAAAGTTTTTTCTCAACAGCGGTCGTCCCTCGGCAGGCAATGGCAAACCTCCGAGTGTATTTCTGCCATGAAAAACAGCTTCTCATAAAAATACAATCGCCGTTCGGAGTCGGCGTAAAACTGTAGGTCCCTCAACCTTGTGTGACAACATCAGGGCGCACGCCACAAATTGGAGGAGAAGCTCGGCCAAACACTAACATATGTGTAAGTGCCAATCTATTATTATTATTATGGTATGAGTACGGACGCGGTAGATTTTTCTCTATAAACAAATATTGTAAAGATGTTTACTTTTTACTGAAATTTAACAAAAAGTTAAGTATAATCTTAGAAGAGAAGAACTCATTTTCTAACGTGTTATTCCCAGTTATGTAAAAAATAAATGCCCGATGCGCGACCGCTTAGAATTATCGTAGAGAGTGGAGATTTATGGAAGATCATCACTATACCAAATATTAAATTTTGAGTCGAGGATTGCAGATCTTTTTACATTGTCTAATGTGCATACATAGATGTTATTAACTTTATTCGATAGGAAATTATACTGTATTTATTTATTATGCAATAACTACACATACAAACGTATGCAATTTGCTTTGTAACGTAGACATTTCGTAATAGCACTCTTACACGATATGTATTTGCACATGTAAAAGCTTCTTTTTGTATGTAGTCATATGTACATACATATGTTGTATATTAGAACGTATCAGAAAAGTAACATTTACATATGGAAAAAGTAAATGTACATGTAAGAATGCTTTAGCAATTTCTCTAAGCTTATCACTTATGCATAGGAAAAACTAAAGACAATTTGATATCATCAGTCACATCATATTTAATGTGAACTATGCAAGAACTTTTAACAAAAGCCTAACCGAGTCTTTATCCGTGATTTGAACGAATACGGCTATCGACAAATTTAATTATCTCTTTGGCGGCAATTGTTATGATGCTCGATTTCCGAATCCACACTTGCACCAATTGTCACCGAATGTCCAAACAATACTGAACATTTAATCATAGCCTTCGACGACTTTCGTGACATTCACCTCTCAATCTGACTGTTACGTATTTATGTATGTGCATATGTACATATGTATGTGTGCGATGTCTGGCACTAGGGTCGCCAGATTTTTGTTCTAAAAATTCAGTTCTTTCGGCTTTTTCAGCGCTAAAAAATCAGTACAATACACATTTATTAGATGCAAAAATTGGATAATTCAATTGGTTTCACCGTGCTACAGTCAATGTTACACACAAAAAATCAATATATTTACAAAATGGCGGTCATATAGTAAAACTACGTTTTTAGTTTTTCTCTCTGACACTCAGTGCCGCCTATGTGGGCAAAAATCGAAAAATTCTTTGTCTGCAATGTGAACGCTTTGGTATTTTTGTAAAGATAATTTATCCACTAAAAAAAATTAAACAGAAATTTCCGTATAAAATAAATAATATGCCGCCAGGAAGCCACTAAAGTCGAAAAATTTTATACTAAGAATTTTAATAAGAGCATAGCCATGCGTAAGCTCTTCACGGAAACAAATGTCAAAGATACATTTTTTGAAATAAAATGCTGGTTTAACGTTTTTTATTTCCGTATAGATAGTAGAGAACTACAGGAATACAAATTTTGGAATAAAATTAAACACAGGGAGTCCCTGCGGTATTCCAGAAAAACAATTTTTTTTAATAAAAATTTCAAAAGATGGTAAATTTTAATGGAATGAATAAAAAACATATGTACAAATATGTTATTTTTTATTATTTTATTAAATATTAAGGGTTTTTAGTTTTCGAGAGAAGAAATAAAAACCTGTTCATATTTTGCACTTTTAGAAGCACTGCGTTTTTTGCTAATGCATAAAATATTTTTTTAATTTTTCGTCAGTGCCACGATTCGTTCTATTTTCATGAAGTGTCAGATTAAAAACTTGACCTGTAGACTATAGAGGTTTATATGTTTAAAGGGTTGCAATAGATAGGTATCACCATATGGGAGTCAGACGAAAGGGGTTTAAAAAGGTTTTAGCTTGTAAATATTACTTGATTGTAAAGTCAAATTTAGTTAAACTGAAATAATAATTGTGTCTAACCAACGGTTTACGGCATCGTATTTGGGCCATTCTAAAATTACATAAATTGTGTTTAAATCTGTAAAAACAATAAAGCAGGTGGAATAAATCTTTATAAATAGAATTTTATCCATTTATTTTTCACTATTTTCTCTATTTTATTGTTATAAATGCATATATAATATACTGTAATATGTTTGCATTAAGTTTTCAAGGCATTCCTTATCTACTAAAACTGGCAATGTAAAAATAATTATCCAAGTAAGTTATAAAAAAATTCATTTATGTTGAGAAGTTATAAGCGTTCAAAAAATTGCTTATTGGATGTCCCATCCGTCACAGCAAAATATGTATTTTTAACGTAACATAAAAATTATTAATATAATAAATATTCACACCTAACCAGCAGTGTTCATTTTACTCACGAACTATATGCCTCCAAAGGTGACTCGTCCCACCCGTCACAAGTAAAAATAAGTCTTTTTTTAATTTTAAAATATAACAATGACATTAAGCATAAAATGGTACTTAACATTCTACTAACTACATTCGAGAAAGGCGCTATAGTTTGTCTAAAATTGAGAAACCAATCCAACAACTCAGAGAAGCAGGTGCCGTGGTCCCACCCGTCACGGCACCCTGAAATTGTGCATATGGAAACTGTGCATACGAAATAATGCATATGAAAAAAACCGAAATAATGCATATATGCACAGTTTCGGTTGAAAACCGCAATAATGCATATTAGAAAAACCGAAATTATGCATATGCACTCTTTCGTTTGAAAACCGAAATAATGCATATGACAACAACCGAAATAATGCCTATATGCCCAGTTTCGGTTGAAAACCGAAAACATGCATATGAAAAACCCGAAATAATGCAAACATGCACACTTTCGTTTGAAAACCGAAATAACGCATATGAGAAAAACGATGCATACATCTTTCGTTTGAAAAGCGAAATAATGCATATGAAAAAACGAAGTAATGCATACATGCACAGTCTCGGTTTAAAACCGAAATAATGCATATGGT